GAAAAACAATTAAATTCCTAATAGTTTCTTCCCAAAATTAAATTCCTAGGAATCAAACTAAACAAGGAAGTGAAAGATCCCTATGATGAAAACTGCAGAACTCTGAAGAAAGAAATTGAAAAAGATATTAGAAAATAGAAAGACATCCCTTGTTTTTGGGTCAGCAGAATTAACATTTTAAAAATGGCTATATTATCAAAAGTGATCTATAGGTTTGACACAATGCCTATTAAAATACAGCAACATTATTCATGGAGATGGAAAAAACAATCCTAAAATTTGCTTGGAATCAGAAAAGACTCAGAATAAGCAAAAAGAGAAAATGAGCAAAATGAGAAAATGAGCAAAAAGAGAAAAACTGGAAGCATCACAATACTGGATTTCAAATTGTTCTACACATCCACAGTAGCAAAATAGCAGAGCAACGGCATAAAAATAGATATATAGTCAAATGCAATAGAACAAGAGACACATAAACAACCCCATGAACCTACAGCCACATGATTTTGCGACAAACATATTTTGGAGAAAAGATAGCCTCTTTAACAAATGGTGCCGGGAAAACTGGATATTCACTTGCAGAAGATTGAAACTGGATCCTTACCTCTTATCCTGTACTAAAATCAAATAAAAATGGATCAAAGACCTAGATATAAAACCAGAAACTGAAACTGCTGAAAGGTAACATAGGGAATACACTTGAAACACATAAGCAAAGACTTTTGAATAGAATTCCAGTTGTACAGGAAATGATATCAAAAATCCACTAATGAGATTACATCTATTCAAAAGCTTCTGCACAGCAAAGGAAACAATTAACAGAGTGAAAAGATAACCTACAGAATGGGGCATAATGAGACTTCTGATAGAAGACTAATATCTAGAATATATAGTGAACTAAAAGAAAAATCCCTCAAATAAGTGACCCATCAAAAAACAAGCAGATGAACTGCATAGAAACTTTCAAAAGATGTTCAACATCTTTAGTCAGAGAAATTCAAATCAAAGCAACACTGAGATTCATTTTTCGCCAGTCATAATGGCTATCATCGAGAACATAAAGAGCAACAAATGCTGGTAAAAATGTGGGGAGAAGAAATCCTTCTACTATGGAAATATGGAGAATACGGAAGTATGGAGATTCCTCAAAAAGTTAAAAGTAGAAGGGGCTGGGGTTTAGCTCAGCGGCAAAGCGCCTGCCTGGCAAGCGCAAGGTCGTGAGTTTGGTTCCCGGTACCGGAGAAAAACCAAAAAACAAAACAAAACAAAAAAAAGTTAAAAGTAGAAATTCCACTTGACCCAGCTGTACCTCTCCTGGGTATATTCCTGAAAGAACTAAAGACATCAGACTGTAGTGATGCATACATACATACCCATGTTTCACAACAGCTAAGCTCTAGAAATAACATGGATACCTGTTAACAGAAGAATGTATAAAGAAAATGTGGTATATATATATATATACACACACTGGATTATTACCCAGCCACTAAGGAAATTGAAATAATGCCATTTGCAGGGAAATGCGTAGAATTTGAGACCATTATGCTTATTTCACTTGAAGTAATGCAGACTCAGAAACTTACATATCATATTATTTTTCTTACATGAGGAACAAAATACAAATTAATAAAATAAAGAAGAAATGGCAGGAAACTAGAAAGGTAGACTGTTGGGGATAAAGAAGGTGATTAAGGGCTGAGGGAGGAAAAAAAAGGATTGAAAAAGATCAAGATATATATATATATATATCAATTTGCACAAATGAGCATCACTGCTTTGTAACAGAAATATGCACTATGAAAAACATACAAACACTCAAAAAAAAAAAAGAAAAAGAAATAGTACAGAAGAGCACAGAACTAAAAGGAATGTCAGTGGAAAACATCAATACTGGAACATGTAGAAGAAAAGGCATGGAAACAGGGCTATAAAGGATAAAATAAAAGGTTTAATATTCCTATAAATATAGTCTAGAAGGAGAGGAGGAGAGAGTAGGGAAAGGCAATATTGGAAGAGAGAATGACTGAGAATTTTCCAAATATAACAAAAGACCTCAAGCCACAGTTTCAAAAAGTCTAAGAAACCCAAGGACAATATATACACATCTTACCATGTAAGTACAAACAATAAAATTTCTGGAGAACAAAAATTGGGAAATCTAAAAAGTTCTCAGGTAGAAAAAAAAATAAAAATAAAACAAGGAGTACCATCAGCTCTAAGACTAGTTAGTAGTCAATTTCTCAAAGAAATTGATGCAAGTCAGAGGACAACAGAGCAACATCTTTTGTTATCTGCTGAGAGAAAGTGTCAAGCTAAGATTCTCTTACATAGGAAAGGTCCTTTATGATAAAAAGGAACAGCAAAACATTTTAAGACAAAAAGAGGGACGTTGCTGTCAACCTAACATTTCTAAAATAAGCACTAAAGAGATTTGGTGCAGAAATGTAAGAAATGAAGAGTAACCGAAAGGGTGATTAGGTGGGTGACATTCAGTGACTACTGGCTGTACCAAATGCTGTAAATAATGTTGTGTAGTATCTAAACTAGAGACAGATTTTTTTAAAAAAACTACAAAAACCGGGAGAGACAGTAAAAATGATTAAGTGCTGTAAGGGTCTTACATTTGTCTGAAAAGTGGTGAAATTCTACTTTATATGAGATTAGATGAGTCTAGAATTTATATTGTACTGTACTTTAGTGTAACCATTAAACACACTGAAATAATTTATTGCTAACAAGTCTATAGATGACACTTGATCTTAGCCAAAAGGCCAAGAAGCGATGTCTATATATGAGAAAAAATAAAATTATAGAAAATGGTTGAGTAATACAGAAGAAAGCAATAAGAAAAAGGAAATACAGAGCACACGGGACAAATAGAAAACAAGTAATAAAACAGTATGTTTAAAAACAATCAGCAATTACATTAAATGTAAATGGATTACTGCAGTTAAAAATATTGTAGGGGTCCATCAAAAATAAAACCCTACTATACACTGCTTAAAAGAGACATTTAAATAAAGGGATATGGAAATATTGAAAGTAAAAAACTGAAAAAAGATATTTCATGTATGTATTTCCAAAGAAAGTTAGTATAGATACACTATTATCAACAAATTAGACTTTACAATGAGAAGTGTTACTACAGATAAAAAGGAAGTTGCCACAGATAAAAAGGAATCCTTAAGAATAAAGGATTTAATGTCAGGAATGTATAATGTGTCTATAGTTGTATTTAGTTAACAACAAAAAGTAAAACTAGATGTAAAAGGAGCAAAAGAAAAATCTTCCATTATAGTGTGAGATTTTAACAGACTTCTCATGTTAAACTAGTGGGATAAATAAGGAACAAAGAAGGCAGCAGCAGGGGAGGGGAGAGATGAAGGATTGAATAACAAAACTGTTAAAACTGTCCTAGTTGACATACAACACATTACAACTAATGACCACACAATATGTACTATTTGTAAGTACAAGGAATATGTACAAAAAATAACTAGTATGGGACCACAAAGCAAATTTCACATGACTGAAATTATAGAGAATAATGTTTTCAGATCACAGAGCTGTAACTGAGTATGTTTTCTTATTCTTGAAATAAATGCAAAAATAGAAGATGCAAAATCCTAGAAAATTAAGCAATACAATTAAAATAACCCATTGGCCAAAGGGGATAAAAAAAAAATGGATGAAATTATAGTAAAACCATGATGAATTTTAAGGCGCACTTAAGGCCAGGCTTACGAGATTCAACATATTGAGTGCCTCTATTAGCAATGATGAAAGGCTGAAAATTCATGTTCTAAGTATCTATTTTAAAAAGTTTTAAAAAATTAAATCACATACCAGGAAGATAATAATAAAATAGAATAAAAGTACAAATTGATAAAATAGCAAAAATACAACAAAGACAAAAATTGGTTCGAGAAAAATAAATGTGTCTCATGCAAGAGACGAAAGAATACTGCTACTACAGATTTCAAGAGACATTAATGACAATAAGATGATATTATAAAAGCAATTTTATGCTCATGAATTTGAAACTTCAGATGAAATAAATTTCTGAAAAAATTACAGCCTGTGAAAGGAAATACATGAAGATATAGAAAAGGTGCTTAGTCCCATGTCAGTTATAGAAACCGAATCTGTAATCTGCCTTTCCCAAAGAAACTATCAGGCCAAGGTGCCTTCACCAATGGCGTCTTTCAACACTTGAAAGATCTAATTGAGACATCCAAAAGAGGAAAGACGCTTCCCAAACCATTTCACTAAGCCAGAGTGGTTCTTATTCCAAAAATTGAAAAAGATGTTAGAAGAAAAGAAAATTACACAACTGATGTCTGCTGCTAAAGTTGAGATCACACTAGAGGTATCAGCTAAGAGATTTTACCCAAAACTGCATATGTGACTCAGAACTGTGGTCACATATCTACCAGAAGAGACTCTGTGGAATCTTCCATTGTCAAATTACACTTGTCTTCCAAATAGACTCTTGCTAATCATTTGCTCCTTAAGGCTGAGTATCGTCTTTTTAAATCATCTTCTTCTGAACAAAGCCTAGACTTCTCTCTGTTTTGACATCAAGTCTTACGTATTTTATTTTACTTTTTCTAGAACTGGAGATTCAACCAGGGCCTCATGGAAGCTAGCCATGTACTCTATCACTGAGTCACAACTCCCATTCCTTTTTATTTTATTTCGAGACAGCATCTCACTAAATCCCTAAGTTGCACAGGGCGGGCTTGAACTTGTGATCTTCCCGCCTTAGCCTCCTAGAGCACTGGGATTACAGGCATGTACCACAGTGCTTGGCATCACGTACTACGTACTTTAATACTAACTTAGACCACTTTTTTCTTTAAAAAGTTGGGCCATGGAAGAGACATGTTGGCTGCTACATGACTTGCTTAGGCCAGCTATGTCATACTGGCACTCAGGTTTTCTTTTCAATCCTACTACCCCATTTCCAGGGCTGCATACCCCCAGCGTTTTCATACCTGATGGAAGTCACCCACTTGCCGGACATAGCCAGCCACATCTTTATCAGAGTTAAAGACCTTCCAAACTTTTCTTCCCATCCTGTGGTATTCCTGGGTTCCTTTCCAGTCCATGGCCATCAAGGAGCGCTCTGTCAGGGAAGCTGCCACGATAATGTCCAGTTGGCCACTGTAGACCAGAACCTGAAATGAAAACAAGCCATCAGCAAACACAAGATTCAGAAAATGAAGCCAGTGAACTGATTTAACCAGAGAGTGAGGCAGTAAAGGAAAAGGAAACTTAAACTTTTGTGACACAGTGCTCAAAGAGGCCAGCCTGGCAGATCAGAGTGTTAGTTCATTTCAGAGAGCCACACATACAAGCAACCTTGTTGCAATGATTGCATTTTTCTAAAGGTACCATTCATAGTAATAATACTTCGTAGTAATCTGCAAAGTGCTGCTCTTGGTTGCCAAATTATTTGTGCTGTATAATCCAGGGAATGGAAAAACTACACCCGTGTGTGTGTGCTTCACTGGATTATATAGCTAGGACTGTGGTTGTATTTTAGTATAACTAAAGAATACTACACCTAGGCTTTCACAAAGCCTGCATTTCATTAACTTTGGATTCAGACCTTTCAGGAACTGGCAAATGGGGCTGTTTCTCAGGTGTTGCTAATCCATGTTGCTCTGTCCTCCTCCACTGAGTTCAGCAACAACTGTAATTTTTTGAAGCAAAAAGATAGATGTGGGTGCTTCGGGTGTGTTACCTGTTGGAGGCAGCTATGCTTGCATACCACTTCCAAGGCATACTTTACTTAAATATGATCGCTACTTGCCCAAAGAAAGGAAAGTCCTTTCTTCCTAGATTGCAATTTTCTCTCCTATAAAACTGATGGATATCGTAGGAAAAACAATGTTAAAGCAACTCTTTGCCTACCAATTTTCAAATTATAAAAAGACTTAAAAATGTTGAGATTTTTTTGTCCCAATTGTCCCAGTTTATGGAGTGTATTCTTTAAAAATAAACCCAAATAAATAAAATGTATATAACTATATTCATTATCATTTTAACTAAAACCACAAAACACAATCTAAAAGTCTTATAAGTGCGAAGTAGTTAAATACATGGGAGTAGCAGAATTCAGTTTGGTATTGTGAACCCATTAAAAATATTTGGTTGAGCCACATTGCAATGTGGGAAATGTTTATCCTATATGTGATGCTCATATAAATTGTGATCTTCCTGTAGTTTTTTCAGAAATTGCGATCTGTCAAATATAAGGTATATAAGTCAAATATAAGGTATATCACAATTATGAGTATAATATTCACACACCCATTCACACACACAAAATGAAATTTGAAAAAAGGAATACACTTCATTAATTTAGATGGTAGAAACATGAGTAATTTCTTCATTTATTTTCTACTCTCCTTATATCATTTTATGGAAATAATACAATATTAGTCATCATAAAGTATTGCCCCTCTACTCAACCAAAAGGTTTTCCCTAACTCAGTGTGACCTTTGATCTATTTAGAAGCTGTGAATGGGCCCGCATACAGACTTTGGCTGAATCCTTAATTTGGATATCAAATGTTCCCTGCATATGTTTCCATCTCTGCCTTCATGATACGAGCTTCTTAAAAGGCTTAAACATAATTAAAAAGCCCAGGACTTTTACACACTCCAAATCCTCAAGCGGCAGTGGGACAGGATTTAGACTAAGATGAAAGAGCCCTGGGCCTCCAGTGCAGGAACATGCAGGCTTTCATGTTACTAGTCACCATCACCACCTCCACACTCCTACACAGACACCCAAAGCAAAAAGTCCTGATAGATTTAAAGCCTCTTTTAAAAACTCAGCTCAACTGCAGCAATAAAGTATTTACATTGTTTATATATAAGAAACTGCCTCAAAAGCTTTGAGTACTTATGGCCTATGCAAAACCTTCTACAGCTGTTTTTAGCGAGCATTATGGAAACAATTATATATGATGGGTACCAGCGAACGAGGCCTAAATGTTTCACCATTCTAGGAAGGCCTGATTATAGCTGATTAGGAAAGGTAATCATGTATAAAGTAATTCTTCTTTTAGCATTCCATCAAAATATGCTGAATAATAGGCAAATATACAAGTATTTATCTTTTTTTGCTCTCCATGGCCACTATGTGTAGCTTGCATCTTCTTCCAGAAGGTCCCTTCCAGTTACCTTTAGTATCAGTGCTACATTTAGAAGTCAGGGTGAATTTTCTTTTCATTCTACAGGACAATAGCAAAACCTGCAGGTTATAGTAATAAAACAGATTTGTATGCACAGAAGTACAGGACCTGTTTGCTGAACTGAACTGAGCTACATCCCTTCTTGTTAAGACTCCTTACAAACAAGAGCACCAGCTCTCTAGAACAAGGCAGTGAGGTCTGAACTGCACAGCTTTGTGTATGCAACATGTAGAAGGCCTGCATTTGGGGGCAAATGGAAATCCACCCTTTGCAAAGCAAAAGGCATATAAGTCAAATGCAGTAACAACCACAACAGCAAAAACAATAATGACTGTGATGGTTAGTCTTCTTTGTCAACTTGGCTGGACAAGAGAAAATGCCTAGAAAATTGGTTACAGCACACTTGTGGGTATGTTTCTGAGGACACCTCCAGAGATGAGTGGCATGCAACACAGTGAACTGGGGAAGAAAAGGACACACCCTGAACGTGACTGGCACCATCCGATGGGATGGGTGCCAGGATGGAACCAAAAACAAAAGCAGAGGTAAATTTGCACCTGTGCCCATGCCACCCTTCTTGAGTGGATACAGTGTTTGCTGCTGCCATCACCTGCGGACATCAAATACCGCATTCTTCAGCCTTTATGGAAGGCTCGCACCAGTGACTCTCCCAGGGCCTGTGGGCCTTTGGTCTTGGAACAGGACTGTGTCATTGGTCCCTCTGAGGCTCCCAGCCTTTCGACTGAAGTTACTCATTTCCCTGGGTCTCTGGCCTACAGATGGCCACTGTGGGACTCTTCAGCCTCTGACTATGTACTATATTCTAATAAATATTCTCTTACAATGATATGTATTCTGTTCCTCTGAGAACCTGACTAATACAGTGAAAAAGCAAAGTGACTTTAGAGCTGGCATTAAAGGTGGCCAACATTATAAGAATCCCAGAGCTTTTATTTTTATCAAAATTGACCTTATTCCCTTAACCGCCCATAGGAATATCCTGTGCCAGTAGGCTGCTGTGGGTTGGATGGGTGAGTGAGATACCACAGGAACCGGTGCCTGTGAGTTGAGAAGCCAGGTGAGTGTGGTTGGTCCTGAAGCCAAGGGCATGCACTGGCTACCTACCTACATCCTGACCTTCAAAGGTCCAGGGCAGCACCAAATCCTGACATCTTGGCCTATCACGATGGATATGCACACCCTCACCCACTCCTTTCCTGGTAGGTGGACCAACGCTCCCTGTTTGCCACAGACGGAAGAGTTTCCCAGGATGCAGGACAATTGGTGCTAAAACTGGGACAGTCTGGGACAAACCTACCCCTGAGGCTCGCTGGTATTTTAAGCAACAAGCTCTCAAGCCAGAGAAGCAGAGACTGAAATGAATGCAGCTTTCAGTTACACTTCCCTTGTCAGGATGATTGGAACAAAATAGGAAAGAAATGGTTGGAGCTGGTTTCCAGTGATGTACCAGAACACTCACTTTCCTTTCTGGTCAGCTGTGAGGATTGAGGGCATTCCTTTCAGAGACCGTCCTTTCAGTCCTGGGAAGGCTGGCTGGTTAGGTCACTGAAATCACTGGTTATGCTCTGACATGGAAAAATGCTTATCATATGAAAAAAATCAATAAAAATCATGATTGTATTTGTTTTTACTCTACAATTATTACATTTAAAAATGTGCTTCAAATTTGGGGAAGACAGATATGAAAATTCTGGCAATTAAGACAAACTATGGTGAATGTGTTTTAGCTTGACTGTTGTTTAGATTTTTTTTGGTCAATGTGGTTAGAATCTTTTATATTGAAAAGAAATAGCAAAATAAAAAATAACCCTAAGAGACTGATTACTTCACTTTGACAAAAGACAGGTCTTTTGGGAGGAATAACTTCTAATAATTAAAATATTACCAGCTTTCAAGTTTTCATGACAACTAGCCATAAAGTTTAATTTTTATTCATAGTCAATCTTTAAAAAACACATTCCAGTTTTGTGAGGAATCTCCAAACTGATTTCCACAGTGGTTTCACCAA